CATGACTCCACTCAGGACCCTCTTGTCCTACAGCTCCTTAAGGAAGTAAACAAGTTGAAGGCAGAACGACAAGCTGAGATACCTGATTGGAACCAACCTAGGCCTGGCCCTCTTACAAGGAAGATCCTTGACAACCCTTCTAAGCAAAGACAAAGCAGAAGCTTGGCTTGCAAATCTATACTGGAAAGGAGGACACGATTGAACACCTTAACCTTTTTTAGTCCACTATGGCATACCGGATGCACACCGACGAAGGGCGATGTCTTCTCTTCCCCTCCACCCTCTCTGGCGGAGCTCTAAACTGGTATTGCCATCTTCCACCTGAGACGGTAGACTTATTTGAGGAATTGAGGAAACTGTTTATTTCTCAACACATTTTCCAGACCGATCGTTTACACTCTGCGGATGACTTATACACCATTCGCCAGAAGCCAAACGAGTCATTATGTATGTATGATGGCCGCTTCAGCCATGAGTATTCCCGTTGTGCTGAGGCAGACGACAAGATTGCCCTCAAAGCCTTCACGACAAGCCTACGTGATTGTTTCTTTAAGTACATGATCAATGCCAACACTTAGAAGACTTACTCTGAGATGATGGTGCAGGCTTACAACCATGCCTCCGCTGAGGCAAGGACATATCAAGGGAAACCCCCCACAGCCACCCCTTATCAGCAAGTAGGGAGTGGAAGCCAGATCCAACCAAATGAGAAAACCTCAACCTTCCAAACAGCAGTGGTGCCTCCTCTTGCCTTACTTAATACTTTGCCAAGTTAACAGACATATCAATCTCAGGGCAAAAGGAAAGATTTCCATCCTTACCAGTCCCATTTTAGTAAAAAGAGTAAGGGACACTATCGCGATAACCAAGGGTATCGGTTTGATAATGCCCGCCCCTAGGCAGTCAACACAGTGGGCCAAACACGTGTCAAGACAGGCCCTACCCCGAGGTATAAGATAAACACGCCTTTGAACGCCATATGCGTGGCCCTTTACCCCATCATAACACATCTGATACCGAAGCGAATGTCGAGGCAGTCGGGTTACAAGCCCACGATGAACACGGGCACATTTTACTGCTACCACAAACATAACGGCCATGACGGTGAGAAATGTATCACCCTTCGTGATCATATTGAAGCTTTGGCGCATGAAGGAAAAATTGATCGATTCCTCCTTCACCCTTCCAGGGATAATGGTGTAAACTTGCAAGTGCACAAGATAGTCGTAATATAGCGTGTTGCAAGTCCAAGTATCGTTCCCACGAGGATTCTAATTAAATCTCCAATTTGATAAACTAAACCAAATCTAATAATATTAATGACACACAACCCCAAACAACGAACTAGACTCGATCTTAATTAATAAATCAATCAAGGATGTAAAGAATTTGTTGTGATGATTTTATAAATGAACAAAAACAGAACCTTAAGTAAAAACTGAAATCAAAGAAAAGAAAATGTTGTGTTTTAAGGCAAGTGATGAAAAGTCTAGGGATTCGGAATCAACCACAAGCAATCTAATTTAGGTTTCAATGCATTCAATGGATCTTTCAATTCTTTAGATGATAATTCTCGTATCTAAGTCCTTGTCAGGCACATTAGACCATAGTTTTCCTTAAGTGAATGATTCTCTCCTAGTTCAGGCAGAGGTCGTATATCCTAACATGCAGTCTATCCTGGTTAAGGCATAAATTTAACAAGTAGGACTCTTTACGCTCTAGAAAACAAGGGAACCAAGCAAACCATTATTCTTTGTCAAGCAATAATGTAATTTACCACACTTAACCACAAGAAGCTAATTGAATTATATTGCTAGTTCAGCCTCAAATTCATCTTCCAATCTTACTAGATGCAAAGTCCTAAGGTGATCAATCAAAGAACTCAAACAAACAGTAACAGTTCAAACAGTGATTAAGCATTCATCTAAAAGAAACTAGAAATCCAATGAATAACATTAAAAACCATAGACATTCATGCTAGGGCATCATCCTAACCCTAGAAAAAGAGTTTAGTTACTCATAAAATAAGAAAACATAATTAAAAGTATTAAGAACATGAAAAACTTAGGAAAAAAAAATGGAAAGCGGCTGCTGCTCCTCCAAAAACACGCCGAGAATCCCTCACCAGAGAACCCCCTTTGCTTCCTACAATCTCTCCCTTATAGATTCGTCAAAATCCTAGCATCCTTAGGTCTTTTTTTTAATCTTTTCCTCATTTGTATTGGATAATTGATGATGTGGCAGGTAAGTTTCCCAAGTAAATTACTCCAGACCCATTTGAAATAGGACTAAAATCATCTCCAACGTTTTCTATCTTGGGCTTTGGGCTTCGACTGAATTATGACTTGAAAAAAACCCAACAGACTTTTGCAATTTCCGCGTAGACTTGGCTGACCGACGTCTTGTACAAAAACTTTCATAACATCGTCTAGGAAACTCGAAATCACAGTCCGTAAAATTCCTCTGAAAGCTAACATCCATATCTTTCCAATGGTATAAGGCTCAACAGCTGGTTCATTTTGAGGAAGTACAGTTTATTCCGTCAAGTTGGCTGATCTGCACAAACAGCTTCTGCTTCCAGGGCACATAACTCACTTCAATCGCCAAAATGCTCATTTTTCTTCTTTCTTCATCTTCACTCTTCAAATCTAAGAAAAACATAAAACTAAATGAAACAAACTAAATTCACTCAAAAACATAACAAAAATCTAAACTAAAGGGCATTAAAATGTATGCAATATTGGTCGTATCAAATACCCCCAAACTTAGACTTTGCTTGTCCTCAAGCAAACACAACAAAGACTCAAAATTAAATTTAAACAAAACACAATGCAGTTAGACTTTCCAAAATATATTCCTCAAAGATTGCATGGAAAAAATATAGTTCAAAGAATAGAGAAACATTGTAAGGATTCTATACATGATTCAAAAGTTAACAACACCTTACACAACCATTCTTCCGGTACGTATAAGACTAGCCAATAATTAACACAACACTTGCAACTCGGATAGGTATATGCACATAAGTGTGATTATGAGTGATCTCTGAATAATGAATGTATCGAACCCCATAGGCTTGCTCTTTATATCGTCTCTCCACTAATGTAAATCAGTGCAACACCAAAGATCAACTGGACTTTACAAAGGTTGTAACGTTAGGCTAGGTTATTGGCTATGAAAGAAAGGGTAGGAAAAAACTAGAACCTGAGATATACCAAGACTTCTTCATATGTATTTCGGTCGAGCCGCTTTTGAAATATAATTCTTGGCGTCCAGGACTCATGTTAGGAATGGAACACTTTCAAACTTTTTTATTTCTTTCTTTCTTTCTTTTTTTTTCTTTTTTTTTTTTAAACTGAATAGTAATATAACACATGGTACCTCGGTACACGCCACATCTTTGATGTACACTCAACCTTTATCGCTGTCTTCATCATCTTGGTATTCATCTCAAGCTATAAGGTATGGCTAATACGGGTTAAATGGGTAAGGATTAATGTGGGTAATGAAAGAAAAAGTTAAGTGTTTGGCTTCAAGGGGCTAACTAAGGATAACATAACATAAGAGGTTGGGTATATAAAGGCTCAAACGGTCCAAAAATGGCCAAAATCATCTCCCCAATATTGCATGATTTAGGATTTCGCCTCGAGAGATATTGAAGCAAGTTCTAGTGTTCGTTGAGATCTTAATGAGTACTTAATCTGCATATAATTCTCTAAGCAAGCAAACAATTGCATTAACCTTGGCTAAGTGCATGAGAAAGGTGTAAAGAATGATCTTATAAAGCATAGCTAACCAAAGAATCAAACAAAGAACACAAACAATGCTTATCAATTTCTTAGAACCATATTTAAGTGGCAACCGAGTTATTATCATTGGATTTGGAAAGGACTAACCAACAAGATTGAGAGAAGAGCAAAAAATAATATATATATATATATATATAATATATTATTTTTTTTTTTTAGACACTAATGAAAACAGGACAACTAACAAAGACAGAACAGGACAACTAACAAAAACTAACAGTCAAGACTTGAAAACGAAGACTTCATGCTCTGCAATAACCAATTTCTGACCTCTGTTCATTTTTTTACATATATCTTGCAAACTACTTGGTAGAATTCAACGTTCTTTATATGGTTGGATTCAGAACGAAAAAATTAAAGAACACAACGCGGACCAAAACTCAGAATCAGCAACAGATTGTTCCAGAATTTACTAAAACAGAGAGCCTACGTTTTATGACACAAAACAACTAACTGAAAAACTATCAAAATGAGATCTCTCCCCCAAACTTGAATAACACATTGTCCTCAATGTGAAATGAAAAACAAGGCATGCAATGAGTTAAACGAATAAGGAAAAGTAGAACGGAATAAAAAAATAAGATGAAAAATAAAGAGTAAAGTTTAGGACTCCCCTGGTTAAGTGGTCGCTAAAGTCAGACTTGCCGCACATACCAACTCCATCTTCTTGCATCAAATGCTTGGGTTGCCTCCCAAGAAGCGCTAAATTTAAAGTCTTCAGCCGGACTTAGCGACCTTCAAATGAATGGAGAATCATTGAGGTACAAAACCTCCTCATTCATTTGTGGGATAGGGTCCAGGTATTGCTTCAAACGATGGTCATTCACCTTAAATGTCAAACCACTCTTCATATCTTGAATTTCCACAACACTATGGGGATACGCTTGCACAACGAGATAAGGTCCAGTCCATCTAGATCGAAGCCTAGTGGGAAATAACGTGAACCTTGACTTTTTCCACAAAACCTTTTGGTTTGGTTCAAAATATTTCCGAGGTAAAGCTTTGTCAGGAGCAACCTCAAACTTCTCTTTCATTCGATCCACAACATCAATCTGAAAACAATCATGAGGATCCAAAGGACTCTTCAAAGCTTCAAAGATCTGAAATTTTACGGTAACGTCCTGCACAGTCATGGTTAGTAAACCAGCTTTTACATCAATTTTAGTACCTGCAGTAGCCATGAAAGGTCTACCAAGAATGAGAGGTAGCTCATTGCCTGGAATTTCAGCTTCTTCCATGTCCAAAACAATGAAGTCAGCAGGAAGAATGAATTGATCAACCTTGACAAGTACATCTTCAATAATGCCCCTTGGATATTTCACAGAACGATCTGCAAGTTGTAAAGACATGGAACAATGTTTTAACTCCCCCAAACTTAGATGTTTGTACGCAGAATAAGGCATAAGATTGACACTTGCTCCCAAGTCAAGTAAGGCTCGTTCAAATTTTCTTTCTCCAATAATGCACGGAACTGTAAAGCTTCCTGGATCCTTGAGTTTTGGTGGCAATTTTCGTTGAAGCACTGCACTTACCGTTTCTGATAACATCACCTCTTCATATTTTCCATACTTTCGCTTGTGAGTACACAGTTCTTTCAAGAATTTTGCATATGATGGAATTTCTTTGATGGCTTCAAGCAATGGAATGTTGATTTGAACTTTCTTGAATTGGTCCAATATATGCCCCGAGTACTGATCTTTTCTTCCCTTCTTTGCACGCTGAGGGAATGGTAGAGGAGGATCATACACCACATCCTTAAGCATTGGATCAAATAAAGTTCTTTTCGGCTCAGATAGTGGCTGTTTTGAACTCTTAAAATAATGATTTTGCTGCTGGTCATTCATATCCGTTCCCCTCTCCTTCTCCTTTTCAACTTTCTCATGCATCTCTACTTTGTTGTCGATCATCTTCCCACTTCTCAAGGTTGTAATGGCCATCACATGCTCATTATTTCTTGGATTAATTTCTGTTTGGCTTGGAAATTGCCCTTGTGCTCGCTCCAATTTGTTCAAAGTAGTAGCTATTTGTCCCAATTGAATCTCAAAATTAGATTGAGCCTTTTCCAACACCGTCTGACTTTGTCTAAGCGATACAACTTCCTGTTCATACCGATCGGTTTTCTTTAAGAGTTGAGATAGCATGTCCTTGATAGAAGGGTCTTCTTGTTGAATTGGAGGAGCTTGATAAGGCTGCTGATATTGCTTTGTTGAATTGGATGGTCCCATGCTATTTTGGGAATCTCTCCAAGAAAAATTCGGGGTGTTCTCTCCATCCCGGGTTATAATTATTTGAGTACGGATCATTTCGGGGCCTCCCACTAAATGCTTTGACCTCATGCATGCCTTCTAGATTAGGATTTGCTGGACAATGTTCCATGTCATGGGCGATGCTTGCACATAAGCTACATGGCTGCGTGGCTATCTTGCTTACTAGTGGTGTGAGAAGCTTCGTGAGAGCTGCTACTTGTGCCTCTAAACCCGTCCTTGTATCAACTTCATAAATGCCTCCTCTTTTTGTTGACGATGCAGTTGGAACTCTCGAATCTTTTGTAGGAAAATCCCAATGCTCAGAATTTTCACATATAGTTTCAAAGGCATGAATGGCATCTTCTGGAGTTTTGTCCATCAAGGTTCCACCAACTGTTGAATCAACCAAACTCCTACATTGAGAGTTCAAACCTTTGTAAAAAATAATGAACCTTTTGCCAAGTGTTGAAACCATGATGAGGACATTGAAGAAACAAGTCCTTATATCGCTCCCAACTTTCATGAAACTGTTCACCTTCTTGTTGCCGAAAGCTCATGATTTCATTGATCAGAGCATTGGTTCTTCGAGCGGGGAAGAACTTGGACAAAAACTTCTTGGATAATTCTGTCCATGTGTCGATAGATGCTTCGGGAAGAGAATCCAACCAACTGCTTGCTTTATCCCTCAAAGAGAATGGGAATAACCGAAGTCGAATTTGCTCTTCAGTAACATTGGTGAATGTGAATGTGGAACATAGCTTGAAAAACGCCTTGATATGATGGTATGGATTTTCTTCCTCCTTCCCAAGAAATATAGGCAGCAACTGAAAGATTTGTGGACGAATCTCAAATCGCTGCGCAATTGGAGCCAAAACAATGCATGACGGTGCGTTGTACTCCGTTGGCTTTGTATAATCACGCATGAGCCTTGGTTGTGGTGGTGGCAATGGTGGAGGATTATCTCTACCATTATTGACTTCCCCCATGGCTGGTTCTTGAAACACTTGCTGCCTCCGCTGTTCTCTTAAAGTACTCTCAAGTTCTTGGTCTATATGAATCAACTCAAATTGCAACGAACGTCTACCTTGCATATACGACCAGACTGTGCTCCTTGTTTGACCACTGCTCAGTATTTTGTAAATTTCTTGCAGCTCAAAAATCCAATCATTGATCTGTTTGTTGGGTTGAAAACTAGACTTCTGGGGCTTTCCAACGATATACAATATGCCTGGTAAAAAATCGAATAGTTTAGTCCAAAACTGTGTCGAAACAGTGATACAGAAACTGAAATAAAACAGTGACGAAAATTACTTTTACTTATCTTAATAGTTATGACTCTTACTCGAAACTAGAGAACAAAACAAAATCAAATTGAATAATCTACAATAACTACTTATTAGATATGAAATAAAATATCAAATTGGGGGACTCAATTAGAGTCCCCGGCAACGGCGCCAAAAACTTGGTGTAAACTTGCAAGTGCACACAAGATAGTCGTAATATAGCGTGTTGCAAGTCCAAGTATCGTTCCCACGAGGATTCTAATTAAATCTCCAATTTGATAAACTAAACCAAATCTAATAATATTAATGACACACAACCCCAAACAACGAACTAGACTCGATCTTAATTAATAAATCAATCAAGGATGTAAAGAATTTGTTGTGATGATTTTATAAATGAACAAAAACAGAACCTTAAGTAAAAACTGAAATCAAAGAAAAGAAAATGTTGTGTTTTAAGGCAAGTGATGAAAAGTCTAGGGATTCGGAATCAACCACAAGCAATCTAATTTAGGTTTCAATGCATTCAATGGATCTTTCAATTCTTTAGATGATAATTCTCGTATCTAAGTCCTTGTCAGGCACATTAGACCATAGTTTTCCTTAAGTGAATGATTCTCTCCTAGTTCAGGCAGAGGTCGTATATCCTAACATGCAGTCTATCCTGGTTAAGGCATAAATTTAACAAGTAGGACTCTTTACGCTCTAGAAAACAAGGGAACCAAGCAAACCATTATTCTTTGTCAAGCAATAATGTAATTTACCACACTTAACCACAAGAAGCTAATTGAATTATATTGCTAGTTCAGCCTCAAATTCATCTTCCAATCTTACTAGATGCAAAGTCCTAAGGTGATCAATCAAAGAACTCAAACAAACAGTAACAGTTCAAACAGTGATTAAGCATTCATCTAAAAGAAACTAGAAATCCAATGAATAACATTAAAAACCATAGATATTCATGCTAGGGCATCATCCTAACCCTAGAAAAAGAGTTTAGTTACTCATAAAATAAGAAAACATAATTAAAAGTATTAAGAACATGAAAAACTTAGGAAAAAAATGGAAAGCGGCTGCTGCTCCTCCAAAAACACGCAGAGAATCCCTCACCAGCGAACCGCCTTTGCTTCCTACAATCTCTCCCTTATAGATTCGTCAAAATCCTAGCATCCTTAGGTCTTTTTTTTAATCTTTTCCTCATTTGTATTGGATAATTGATGATGTGGCAGGTAAGTTTCCCAAGTAAATTACTCCAGACCCATTTGAAATAGGACTAAAATCATCTCCAACGTTTTCTATCTTGGGCTTTGGGCTTCGACTGAATTATGACTTGAAAAAAACCCAACAGACTTTGCAATTTCCGCGTAGACTTGGCTGACCGACGTCTTGTACAAAAACTTTCATAACATCGTCTAGGAAACTCGAAATCACAGTCCGTAAAATTCCTCTGAAAGCTAACATCCATATCTTTCCAATGGTATAAGGCTCAATAGCTGGTTCATTCTGAAGAAGTACAGTTTATTCCGTCAAGTTGGCTGATCTGCACAAACAGCTTCTGCTTCCAGGGCACATAACTCACTTCAATCGCCAAAATGCTCATTTTTCTTCTTTCTTCATCTTCACTCTTCAAATCTAAGAAAAACATAAAACTAAATGAAACAAACTAAATTCACTCAAAAACATAACAAAAATCTAAACTAAAGGGCATTAAAATGTATGCAATATTGGTCGTATCAGATAACTGTAACCAAAGCCAAGTTAATGTGATTTATTCCATAAGCGGTGGGACACCCATATTTGAATCTTCCAATAGGGCCATGAAAAACAGCGAACGAGCTTTAAGGCCTGGCCACCAAGTGTTTCACGTGGAAGACATCAAGGGAGGAAAGTATCAAAAGCCTAACTGGGATCCAATATGTTTCTACCCTGAGAAAGAAAGAGGTATCATCTACCCTCACAATGACTCACTGATCGTGGAGGCTCACATAGCCAACTTTGAAGTAAGATGAATCCTGGTAGACACGGGGGCTTCGGTCAATATCATGTTTGCTAAAGCTTTCAGGGCACTTAATGTAGCTGAACATTTGCTCAATCACTCGATTTCTCCTCTAATAAGCTTCTCCGGTGATATCATGCAACCTATAGGGAGCATACACTTACCTTTCACCATTGGTACAGTCCCTTACACAGCTACCATTACCATTAACTTCTTGGTAGTTGATTGCCCAACGACATACAATGTCATCTTTGGACACACATGCATCAATGATCTCAAGGCTATGGTATCAACACATATGTTGTTGATGAAATTTCCAACCCCCTATGGCAATGGTTACATCAGAGGAGATCAACTTAGGGCACGATCATGTTACAACACTTCGGTCAAGCAACAACACCTGCCTGTGCCCAAGGAAACCTTTTCTATACATGACCAAGTCATAAAGACAAGCCCGGACGAAGCCAACTTGGATCTTCATGGTGGCAACAGTCAACCCGACGATCCTCGAGATGACTCTTTCACCCAGTAAGTACAACCCGTTGAAGAGTTGAAGAAGGTTTCTATATCAAAAGATTATCCAGATCGCATGGTGAAGATTGGCACCACCTTGTCACCACCCATTCGGTTGGCATTAATCTTTTTTTTGCAAGAGAACACTGAGGTCTTCGCCTGGTCATACGAGGACATGCCAGGCATCTATCCCGATATCATATGTCATCGCTTAAGCATTGACCCTAAGACCAAGCCGGTGAGACAGAAGCGAAGATCTTATGACGCTGAACGATACGAAGCAATGAAGGTAGAAGTTGAAAAACTCAAAGGCATAGGCTTCGTCCGCGAAGTCAATTACCCAACATGGGTAGCAAATGTGGTCCTTGTTAAGAAAAATCTGACCAAAGAAAGTCTCTTGCTCCAAAAGGTCTTGTGGAGAATGTGTGTCGACTACACCGAAATAAACAAAGGATGCCTGAATGTTAGCTTTCCTCTTCCTCTCATTGACAGACTTATAAACTCTACGGCAGGGTGTGAACTCCTGAGCTTCATGAATGCTTACTCAGGATACAACCAAATCCTCATGAACCCTTCGAACCAAGAATACACAGCCTTCACTACTGACAGGGGACTATATTGCTATAAAGTCATGCCCTTTGGCCTAAAGAATGCAAGAGCGACTTATTAGAGACTTGTCAATTCAATGTTCGCCAAACAGATTGGGAAGAGCATGGAAGTTTATGTTGATGATATGTTAGTCAAGAGTAAACATGCTGACCAACACATCGCTAACTTATCTGAAACTTTCATCATTCTGAAGAGGTATCGAATGAGGCTGAATGATGTGAAAATTAAGTTGACACAAAAATTAAACCCTATTGATGACAATTGTAGTATTAAGCAAGTAGGGATCGTTCTAAACCGGGGATTAACTAGGGATGCTAATCAACACAAATAAGACTCAAAAATACTAAACTAGACTCTATAGACTCAAAACTAACTCAAAACACTCAAAACAGCAAGAAACAATAAAAAAGACTCAATTCTAGACCTAACAAGTGATTTGGACGAAAATAGAACTTAAAAGACTCAAACAACTAAAAGAAAACAGATTTTGACTCTAAAAACAAGACTTAAAACAAAGGGGTTTTATTTTGACGAAATTGAAATTTAAAACAGAAACTTTGAAAACAAACTTAAGAAAA